GGCCGTCTTCAGTTGATGGCAGTCATCGGTTCTGTGCCCCTGGTGTCGATGGAAGCGACACTAGGGGAACTAAGGGTTGATAGCGTGTACCTCCGGGGGTGCGCGAGAATCACGCTCAACGAGGCCCCTCTCCTCTGCAAAATCGAGGATGATGCTGACGGGGTGCGTCAATGGGGTCCGAGGGCGGTCCAGAAGAATGGGCTGGGCCCAAGTCTTAGGGTTGCTCCTATAACCTCCCCCGGGCTTGGCTTGGCCTTGCCGAGGGCGGTCATCAGAGGGTCCCGAAGCCTTGGGGCGATTTGGAGGAGCCCCCGGCCCTCGGTTGTGCTTGTTGTCAGCCCTCGGGGGCTGCTGGTCCGGATGCTGGTTATACTTCTCCACCTCCTCGGTCTCAGCATATCGGTCCCCGCGCTGTAAAGCCCTTATGTAGTCGCGGGGGGGTTCAATGATGAGGCTCCTTGAAAAGTTGCCGGTGCGGAGGACGGTTTGTAGGAGGGCCAGGAGGGTCCCGTCATCAGCACCGTCGACCTTGTCGGCCTCCGTCCTCCAACGCTCCAGGAAATCCCGAAGGGTCTCATCCTTCTTCTGGCGTATTGTTAGGAGGTGGGAGAAGTGCTTCCTTGTGCGACGCCTCCCGGCAAATTGTGTCAAGAAACGCTGGGCGAGTTCTTGCCATGAATCAATACAGCCCTCGGGCAGCCTGTTGAACCATTCGTATGCTGGTCCCTCTAAGGTGGAGAGGAACCAACGACACAAATATTCGTCTGACGCCCCCACCATCATCATGTTGTTCTGGTACTTGCTGTAATGTTCCTGGGGGTCCGTTTTCCCGCTGTAGGGCTGTATGTGTTGCCCTCGGTATTTCTCCGGGATCCAGGCCGCCAATACCCTCGGGGTAAATGGCGCCCGAGTCCGGAGCTGGATGACGGGTTCCCCGGAGCCCTCGGCCACCTTCTTCTGTAACTCCTCCATCTTGGCCATCATGGCCTCGTATTTGAGATCTGAGTGAGGGGTGGAGGTGGTGGCGTGAGCTTTGTTGGACTCCATTTCGTCAAGCCGGCGCTGGAGGGCCGCAATAATCTCGTCCCGGGGGTCCCTCGGGAGGGTTTCCGCCCCCTGCGAACGAACCCGGGCCGAGTGGGCCTGGTTGATTTGGTGCCGAGCATCATCGGCATGAAGGGGTGCCTTGTCTTTGTCCCGAGGGGGACGCTCCTCGTCTGCCCTCGAAACAGAGCCCCCGCTTTCCTGGGGCCTTTGGAGTGCTTTCCCCCCGAGGCGGTCTTGGACCCCTCGGCGGTCTGGCCCTCCTCCGAGCCGGTTGAGGGCGGAAGTACGGGGCCTCTCCCTGTTGTCATTATGGCGGTCCCGGGACTGAACTTCCTGGGAGGATGTTTCTTGGGCCACCACCCTTTCGTCGTTTCTCACCCGAGGGATGGGATTTCCGAAGGGGTGTGGCAGAGGGGGAAGTATGATATTTTCCCCGATCTGAGGGTGAGCTGGAGCCAGGGTGCCGAAGGCACCCGGGTTCTGGGTGAGCGTTTGGATGAAGGCGGAGAGCGCCGATTGTACGTCGATGGTGAGAACCGGAGGGCTGACTTGGTCATCGCTCCGGTTTTTCTTCTTGGCCTCGATGCCGAGGCGGGCATCGGGGGCGTTTTGTTGGATCTGAAGGCGTAGGTCGACAGCCGCCTGTTCCAGCCCAGCGAGGACACCGCCCTCGGGAGCCCTGTGAGAGGCTTCGGGGGCGTTGACGTCGCCGAGGGCCAGGTTCTTGTCTTCTACGTTCTTTGAGTTGGCACGTGTTGTCCTCACCATTTTGATAGAGGGCTAGTGTTTGTGTGTTTGGTCGAGGGGGAGGGTTTCTTACTCGATTGTTCAACCTCTCAACGAGAGCACCAAATGATGGATAGTCTACCCGGGGGTATATATCCGAGGGGTTATTACGGGGAGTAATCTAGAGAGAAGTCAGAGCAAGTAAATATATATAGAGAGAGTGTATTATAAATGTGGAGCGTTTTCAGCGTGATTACAAATGAGGAAATGGGGTGCTATTTATAGCAGCAATAAATGCCGGGCAGGGACACGTGTCAAGCGCTCATTGGCCGAGGGGTCACCTCAACTGGTTGGCGCTGGCAGCCGCATGTGGCCGCATTTAATGCGGCTGTTGGATGGGACGTCTGTGCAGAGTACAGTGATCTGCACGCATGTGAGGCGGACATCTTGTCGAGTGAGATGCCTTCGGTTATAGAGCAGTAGCCGAGGGCTCTTCCTCCCGATGGCAACCCTGGTGCCGAGGGCTTACAGTGCCGAGGGCTGTTGTTTTCGGCGTTTTCTCCCAGTTTCTTAGTTTGCTTGAGAAACCCGTTCTGTGAGAATTTGGAGCCTTCGGCCAGGGGGCCGAAGGCACCCCTGTGCGTTGTGCGGACTGCTTGGTACTCCGGGCGCTGTGAATTGGGCCTGTTGGGCCTTTTGGGCCTGTTGGGCCTTTGCTGGAGTAGTAGGAGTCTGTGGGGCGGGGGTTCCCGGGCCATATACTCCATCATACTCCATCAGGAGTCTCCCACTCTCTGAGCTGAGATGTAGACGAAGTGAGGGAGAGTAGATTCCATAGTTTTGATGTCTTCTGGCCGTTATGGCCGTTGTGGCCATTTCCTGTTGGTTCTTCGTGTTTGGTCGTTGTATGCCTTTCGCTGTGGATGAAGAAGGCTGATGTTCCTCTGATGGGGTAAGTTTGTTTGTTTGAGGACGATGAGTGTCCTGGCTCAGTGGCCGATATGTGCTCTTGATCTGATGCGGGTAATGTTTCTTCTCTCTAGTCATTGGCAGTTGCTTTTGGTGTCTTGGTCGAGGAGGCCAAATGATTGCTTTTGTGCCATAGGCCGAAGCGGTGGTATTCGTAGTTTGTTGTCCATCTTTGAGGACGATAGCGTTACTGGTCCGGAAGAAGTAGTGCGTATTCTGATCTCATGGACGATGGTGACCCGAGGACGTTGGGTTCCTGTTTTCATTTCTTGGCCGAGAGTGGAGTGTGTGATCTCAAAGCCGTTGAATGGCGCGCGTCCAGGGACGATACATGTTACATTTTTGGGGGGAGTTATAGTTCTTTGTTTGCTGACTTTGTTGCGGACGAAGGTGCACCACAAGGTTATGGACGTCATGGTGCATATATGATCTAATGTTGTAGTTGTGGACTTTGTGTATTTTTGGATTTTTTTGATTTTGTGATCTCCTGTATTCCAAAGGCCGGTGTAGTCCCCCAGTCCCCCACTGCTTCAGGCCGAAGAGTAAGCGAGGGGTGAAGGAGTAAAGTGTAACCCTAGGTCGAAGCAGGATCTTTGTATTCCCCTGAATTCAACCCCTTGGTGATTCCTGACCAAGGTAACCCTGTGGGAGAACCCTTGGCCGCAGGTCGCTTTCAAGAAGTTATCATCTGGGGCTTTATACAAGGCCGATGGCTATTTGATTGTTTTGTGCTTTGCTGTTGTGGCCGGTGAAGGGGCCCTGTTGTTGGTAATGTGTTAAGCCTGTATGGGCACACTTTGTGGCGTGACCAGCCATTGAAATTATTATTGGCTACCAGGGCCGATGTATAGTGCCCTGTGGAGGCAGATATTTCTTCTTGGTGTGGCCGTTGAATGGTTGAACATTATGGATGCTGATTACTGGCACGTTGGCTATGGACTGGTACTGATGGAAGTGGGCCTGACCCATCTTCTGAACCGGTGGCAGCCCAATGGGCCTTGGCAGTGATGGCTGTTCGTGTGGCCAATGGGGGAGCGCCACGTGTAGTGACCGTTGGGGGGAGGTCTATAAATACCCCACTCCATCCGAAGAAGCTCCCTATTGCATTCTCGGAGAACGAAGTGCTGCCCAAATTTCTAGAGAGATAAAGTGTTCGCCGGTGTTCTTCCGTTTCTTCAAAACTTCAAAGGTCAGTTCATCAAACCCTTCTCTTATTCCTTACATGTTTTGCTTCCCTAGGACCTTGATCTAGTGTTAGTGAAAAATCAACCTTGGATCCAAAGTAGTTTCCTTTAGGGCGTCTTTAGCTGTTAAGATGAAGACCTTGGATGAAGAGTACTACCCATATGACGATGAGGCCTCCGTCAAATCTCTTGACTACGGAGTGATGGAGGAGTGCTGCGAGGAGATAGAGGATTTGAGTTCCTTCAAGTCAGGGGAGCAGGAGGTTGAGGAGAACCAGGACGAGGAGGCCGCCTCGTCATTTGAGGGTGAGGACGCAGGAGTCTCTCGTGCCGTGGACGGGACGTCTACATCGGCTACTATTCTTTGCCCCAAACCGGTGTCTGCAGTTAAGGGGACCGCCCCGAAAAGAAGGCTCCGGCTGAAGAAGGGTCCTGCTTTTTCCTTCTTGGATCTTGCTAACGTCCTTATCATCGGGCCGCAGAGCTGCGCGGCTGAGTACCTGGTTTCCCAGATGTACGTGGGGCCGTTTGGTAGGGTTAGGGCGCCCAAGCCGACGGACCACGTACTTAATCCACCTTCGGGGTACTTTGGAGTATACCCCATGAGTTTTGCCAAGGGGCTCAGGTTCCCCCTCCATCCGTTCATTACGGAGTATTTGGACATGGTGGAGCTTCCTCCGGCCCTGCTGACCCCAAACAGCTATTCTCTGATCATCGGCTTCCTCCTTCGCTATGACGAGTTGGGCTTCAAGCACTTAAAAATGAATGCAAAACGTGGGTGTTCAAAAAAAAGTATTACCATACAAAAATAAACTGAGAGATAAATGTAGTAAAATTTAAAAAGTACAATCTAAATTTTGCGGAAAATCCTTTGCAGAAGGCAATTCATATTACCTGGTTACTTGACATGTAATTTTATAGCACATTAAGAATTATTACATTGACTCATTACCAGCCCAATTTTTTTTTAAGTAGTATAGGTATATGTTATATTGTCAGCCCATCCCAAAATTATTTCTCAGCCCAGCCCCAGAGATAATTCCCAGCCCAGGCACCCAACCCACAGCCCAATAAACAAATCTGCTCTTCTAATCGTTCTCCACTTCCAGGCCTTCTGACTTACGCGGAGCATTGAGCGTTGAAGGAGTGATCGATGTGCAAAGAGGGAAAATCGAAGCTTGAACCTGCGAGGAAGAATTGAACACCAGCCGCGCCGCCGCCCGCCCACCTCACCTGTGTCGTCCGCCGTCTGGCCCGTCCCTGCTTCTTATCTGGACTCAGGCAGTCCGCCGCCTTTGCCTCCCTCCAGGACTCCAGCCGGCCTCCAGGTACTCCAAAGTCCAAATTGTACTTATCTTTTAGATTTTTAATTTAGTAGTTTCAATTAGTTTGATTGACTTGGTCTTTTGGTGTTAAATGTTAGATTGTATTTGTGAATTAATGAATTATGAATGTGTTATGTGTTCTACGGTTCTACCAGTCTATAACTGTATTATAATGAAGAGTTTTGTATTAATATATTTTTAGCATTTTTTAGTTTTAGGGTTAGGAAATCATTTTGATTTTTAATAGAATTTTTCAGTACATAATTAAATACGGAGTAATGTTTAATTCATTATAATTTTAATGATTAAAGATAGAATTAAATTGTGGAAAATGATTTAGTTACTACTTACTATGCAATTGAAAATTGAGAATACTTATTAGTTTTATGCACAAGGATTGTTTTTCCTTATTAGTTAAATAATTTTAAATAAGTATTTTAATTTATACAAATGTTTTTTAGAATGGATAAGGAACACATTGCCAAGAAAGGAAAGGTGTTGATTTCATCATTCTTTCCAAAAGTGAATCGTCAAACTGGTGAAGGAAGTTCTGAACCTATACCTACAATAGTGCAAGATCCACTCAATGAGGTTCCTCCACATGCTCAAGTCCCTGAAATCCAAACTATATATCTCAAATTTGGAGTTGCCTCCATCTTTTTCTATTGAGAGAGACCCGGGAAAAAGAAAGCAAATTCATGAATATCATGTCAATATACGAGATGAAGTGAAACGTGCATATCTAAATGTTGGGCCTTATCAACCGAGAATGGAAGCTTATCCATTTAAAAAGATTGGAGCTCAAAAACGAAGTTTTCAGAAACACTGGTTTGACAAGTTTAATTGGTTAGAGTATTCACCTGTGACTGATAAAGCTTACTGTTTTTTCTGCTTCCTTTTCTTGAGTGACATTCATATGCATACTACTTCTGCATTAGTTAAGGATGGATTTCAAAGTTGGAAGAGGATAAATCAAGGAAGTCAATGTGCATTTCTTCAGCACGTTGGTACTAAAAAAAAATCGCCTCATGTGATGTGTGTTGAAAGAGCTGAAAATTTGAGGCAACCATCTGGTCATATTAAGAATGTTTTGCACACTCAATCGCAACAAGAATAGGAGAAAAATCGTTTGCGGTTGAGAACTTCTATTATAACTGTTCGATGGTTAGCACCTCAAGGTTGTGCCTTTAGAGGTCATGATGAATCTCTAACATCATCAAATCGGGGAAACTTTATTGAACTAGTAAAAGCTTTTGCGAGTATGAATACCAAAGTTCAAGAAGTTGTGCTTGAGAATGCTCCAAAAAATGCTCAATACATTGCTCCTGAGATTCAAAAAGAGATCTTGAATATAATGGCGAATAGAGTTCGTCAAATGGTTCGTTAAGAAATTTCAAATAGTTGTTTCTGCATTCTTGTTGATGAAGCACAAGATATATCTAAACAGGAGCAGATGGCGATTATTATAAGGTTTGTGAACAGCAGTGGAATTCTTACAAAGCGTTTCTTTGCCATCAGAAGTGTTGGTGACACTGTAGCAACAACCTCGCGTAGGGCACAACTTAAATGATGTTTTGATGAATATTTAAAGTGTTAATGACTATACTTATTATTACGTATGTGTATTTCAATTTTTTTCCCTAGCCCACCCCATTAGGACTTTCTGGATCCTCCCCTGACTAGAGCACTAGGGTAATCATAATGATGACGACTCATTATCATGTAGCTAACCCCAAACTCTTTTGGAACTAAGACGTGGTCGTTGTTGTAGTACTCATTGCCATGTATTTCCTCATTACCACATATTGGTGTCAAATAAAAATAAATTAGTGTTGGCCAAGTATGAAATTAGAATTCTAATATTAACATTTATGTTACTAAATGTTTATTTGATACGGCAAACAATCACACTATACAGGATAGCTTGTGCTCTATAAATGGATTCTGAAAGTGCTCAGCCATTATACCCAAAATAGTGTCTGTATAAATCTGCATCCTAAGCAACTTTATACTAATAGCACGTGCCACTTCAGTGCTATGAATGAAATGAATTTTAAATCAAATAACAGAACTTCACTAATAAAGTTGCAAAATAATACAGTAATATGTTGGGAAAAAACTCCGGAATTTCTCGCTTCGTGAAGTTAAGATAGGCACTTAGGAATTAAGGTAGTAATGGGAGCACACGATTTAAATTCTCCAATATGGAGATTCTTCCACTATACAAAAGAATAGTAGGATTTACAAGAATGTTACAAAATTGTCTCACTCAATGGTGGCTCACTCAAGCTTGAGGATATGACCTTCCCAAGCTAACTCTCTTCTCTCTCAAAGAGGCTCTCTAACTCTCTAGCTTTCTCACTCTAGGAAGTGGATTCTCTCTTGCTAGGATTAGGATTGGGATTGGGATAGTTAGGAATGGAGGCTCCTACTCTTATTTATACTACTCCACCTCCATAATGAGTGGTGGGGAATATTTCTCTAGAATGATCTACATGACTACCTATTCTAGAGAATTCCAAGGAATCTCTACACCTCTCAATTCTCTTCCATATGCTTCCATACTCTTCCATAAGCTTCCGGAAGGTTCCACACATCTCTAGAATATTCCAGAGGATTCCACATTATTCCGCAAGCTTCTAGAGAGTTCTAGACTTCTCTAGGATTCTCCGCAACGTTCTAGAAAATTCTATACTTCTCTAGAAAGCTCTAGAATTTTCTAGAACCTCTCCAATTAAGTAGGGATCCCAACATAATACATATATGGCTTTTTTATGTATGCGCCATACATACCATGAGATTGATATTTGTAACAAAAGTATACCTTCTGTGTTTTTCACTATATTATCTTGAAGTAGATATAGAAGTATGAAGTACAGCAGCTGGCTTATATTCCTTATGAATTTATATTCTTTATACATAAAAGGTGATGCCTAGATATTTCATCATCTGTACCAATTTGTGTATAGAATGAATGGTTCCCTGCCAATTCAGTCCTTGAAGTACCACTTTTCAAAGAAAACGGTTGTGAAGTATGCAGTGGTGTCGACTAAAAAGGCATATGATCCTTGTGCATCCAACTTTTTATTTACCTCTATTTATGCTCTTATTATGAGAAATCTTTACTTACCATTTTAACACTTTCTATCTCACAGTCTAGGTGAATGATCTCTAACTAAATCCAGAATTGGTGAGAACCGAGTTTCATCAGTTTAAATATCTTATATATGAGATATATTTTGAATTTTTCCAAGGTATATCGTATACCCACAAGTCCATATGATTGATTTTCAGTGAATAGATTTATACGGAAAATTAAGGAATGTGTTACAGATGCATTTTTAGGGTTTTAGTTAATTAGAAGAGGAGTCCAGTTTGATGTTATCAAGTTATCTTTATATTTAATTTAGGGTTTTAGATAATTAGAAGAGGAGTCCAATTTGATGTTATCTTTATATTTAATTTAGGGTTTTAGTTAATTAGAAGAGCAATCCAGTTTGATGTTATCTTTATATTTAATTGAGAGTTTTAGTTAGAATAGGACTTAATCATGTAAAGGCATAATGCCTATTTATAATTCTTTTGTGGAATAATAATCAACATCGATCATTAGAAATTATTCCCAGAGAAGTCACGAACTCTCTCTCCCCTCCCCCTGCGCTCTTCCAGCCACGGGCAAGAAGAGTAACCCTTTGTGGAAGAAGAGTAACCCTAACCGGCAGGTTGCAACCTCAACCGGGTACCCTGTTACCCCAAGTCATCCCTGGACCCGTTCTCAATCCCAGAACCCTAACAAAATGTAATTCATAGAAGCGGACAACCAGAACATCATTTTATTTAAAGAAAAGATATCGAAATGAGTCAGGGTAGAAGGCACTGAACCTTATTAGGATTGTAAGTGAAGTACTACCAACTAATGCCTTTTAACAAAAAAAAATTGTTTCTTGTAAGTCAAGGATTTAGGAAAGTCTAAAACCTGAAACAGTTTGGAGCATTTGCCCTTTTGAGGAAAATATAATAGACGTGAGGTGACTGTTCAGAAGTCTACACAATACCTGGAGTTTGGAGTGTCTTGGGTGCAATTGCAATCCATGCTCAATGAACTACGGAGGCTTGTCATCCAAAACATGTTCTCTCCGCCTAATAATATGTACTCTGATATGGTTTTTTAGGAACTGGGCTAGTGTGAAAGTTTTTTGTCAAATACTATGTACCTCATAAATGTTGAGCATAAACATCAACATGTGCCATTACTATCTTGCTAACAAATATAATATTTTCATAAGAAATAACAAATCTTCACTAATAAAGTTACAAAAACATGTGTTTATGGCTTTCTAATGTATGTAGCACACGTACGTCGAAGAAGATCCACGGTGAATAGGTGTGGCTGAGGTTTTGTGGACTCCGGGAAGAAGCAGTTCTCTACTGCAGAAGTTCTATCTCCAACCTTTTTCGCCTGAATATAGCTTTCTAATGTGTGTAGAAAACTTGCGTCGAAGAAGAGCCACAGTGAATTGGTGTGGATGAGGTTTCGTAGACTCCAGGAAGAAGCAGTTCTCTACAGCAGAACCTTCGTTTTCACCTGAAGCTGGGTTCGTTGTGCGTGGGTGCATGTGAAACAAAGTGGTTAGAACACACAAGTTGCCAAAGACTTCACCGATCAGTTCTTTCGGTGTTACGGGTGGGATATTTTTTTGTCTATCATGTAGCACTAGCGCTTTTAGATATATATAGATTACATAGAAGATAATAGTATTTAAATTTGATAAACACATGGGCTCAAAAACAAGGAGCGGTATTTTCACATATTGCACTCTAACGCATCACTCGCCATGTAACCATTATGTTCACGCAGTCGGGTAGTCAACGAATTTAACCCATCATAGATAAGGTCCCCTTCAGGATGAGATTTGTCACAAGTTAAAAACGAATGGACACCATTACTAAGTTCAATCCAGCTGCAACCAGGAACCTTTCTGACATCTTGAACCCTCATGGCATCTCTAACTTCAAGAACCTCTCCATAACGGTCATTTGCTCCATAAACATTGGATAGTATGACATAACTCCCACAATGCTCCGGATTAATCTCAAACAACTTTGATGATGCGGCAGAAATGACCGTCGGATTAGCGTTCCCGTGAAGACGACATGCGGCTAAAAAAGCCCTCCATACTACGGGGTTGGGATCCACGGGCATCATTAATAACAAGTCATGGGCAGCATCAAGCAGCCCAGCCCGACCGAACATGTCTATCACACAGGTATAGTGTTCTATGCACGGCACAATGCCGTGTTTGGGGAGCATACTTAAAAGAAAGTCCCTCCCTTGGTCGATAAGGCCTGTATGGCTGCAAGCGGACAACACTCCCACAAACGTGACCTCATCTGGCTTTATTCCTGTCTCACACATATGGGAAAACATGTGCAACGCTTTCTTCCCATCTCCATGCATTCCGTACCCTTTAATCATGACATTCCATGATGCTACATCTCTAAATTTCATCGTGTTGAATATCATCTGAGCATCATTCATGCTCCCACACTTTGCATACATGTCCAATAGAGCATTGTCAATGAAAGAGTCATTGTCACGGTCAACATTGTTCTTTAGCATGGTGACAATCATGTAGGCGTGAATTTCCTTACCATGTCTTAGAGCTGCCAAATGAGAGCAAGCAGGGAGGACAGTGGTTACAGTGACCAAATCTGGGGGCGTTTGGGCTGCACAAAGCATCTGCTTGAAAAGCCGAATGGTTCCCTCACTATCCCCACATTGTTCGTGAACGCACAGTATTGAGTTCCATGAGAATATATCTTTCTCACACATCATCTCAAAGACTCCGAGAGCATCACTAGCTCGCTTACATTTCCCATACATATCTATTAATGCATTCGAAACAGCAACACTGCCTTCATCGTACCCTTTTCTTTTGATGAATCCGTGCATCTCCCTTCCTTTATGCACCGATGATTCTATGTTTGAAAGAGCTGACAATACACCTGTAATAGTGAACCTATTTGGTGAAACACCATCATCCGTCATCATCCACGTGAACACCTCCATAGCCTTGTCAAAATTTCCAGTTTGGGAATATCCATTAATCATTGCATTCCAAAGAACAACATCATCTCTAAGGGACAATTCATCAAACACCTCCTCAGCGTCCTCTGTCAAGCCGAATGTCAGATATGAGTGCACCAATGCACTGCCTACAAACGAATCAAAGTCCAACCCAAACGTAAACACTAAACCATGAATGCTTTTCATACATATCAGATTATTACTATAAGAAGCTGCCTTAATTACGCAAGGGAATGTGAACTTATCAGGAACCAGTCCCAGCACTCTCATATCCAAATATATTTGAAGAACTGCATTGGGAAGATCATGAGACGTGAAGCCGGCAATAAGGGCATTGTGAACAAATACATTGCGGGCATGAGGAGGGGATGTGGAGAACACAGAGAAGGCATCAGACATAGAGTTGGGATTGCACTTGGAGTACATGTTGATAAGGCTAGTGATGCAGACTGGGGAGAAATTTACAAGAGAAGTCACAAGCATGTGTGTATGGAGTTGTTTGCCAGTTTTGAGATTCCTTTGGTTTGCACATGCTTGAAGCGATGCAATGCCGCTCTTGAGATCGAAAGGTGTAGCAAACGAAGATAAGCGGATGAAGAGATGTGAATGAGCTGTCCAACATTTTGAAAATATGGTTGTTCCTCTGATCATTTAGAGAGAAGACAACGGACATTGATGGTGTACAACTCCTGTTCCATAGAAATAATTGCAGATCAATAAGAAACCCGAAAAATGAATTAAAAACAAACAAATAAACAATCTTAAAAAGACACAACTAACAACTGAATAAAACTTTTATGGTGATTGGTTCAATTCAAATAGTCAGTTAGTCACAGAGTGAGTACTACAAAATGATACATCGATTCTTAGTATGGTCGATAGGAAAGTTGTCATACTTTAAAGAAAAATCATTAGTTATAACTACAAGGAACATATCTAACTTATTTGGCATACTTTTAAACAAATAATACCCCGTTTGGAATGATGGAATGTACTAAAAATTTATGGAAAATGCCATTTGTACAAGCCCTGCACATTTTGTCAGTATCACAGCAAATTCGTCAATATCCAGGCAATTCATCGAAAAATGCAGTTATCGTAGAGTTTGTAATAATTGATACTGACAAAATGTATGGAGCGCTTATAAAAAACGTTTACCACAACCATTTCCCTAAATTTACTTCCTCTTCTTTGGGGAAAACAATTAGCTTCCAAAGGACTATTTTTTTAGATGGAGGGGGTAATAAATTAACAATAGTTTAAATTAAACACTCAGGGTTACACACACAAAATGAGCAACCAAATACATTGACTGCCTACATTTTCCAAAATTAAACAACACAGTATTTTTCAAAAAATCATTTGACTGCCTTCCCGATTGAGTTTTTAGCTGAATTTTAGTATGGGTAAACAGTAAACTAGACTTGATGAAGAACATGCTCAAAACATTTCATCAAAAAATTCCACCGCGAAGGTCCTCTGATAGACAAGTTTGGACGGGGCTTCCCGTCAAAACTACCTGAGGTGATCTTTTTCCTATATAGACACACACACACACACACACACACACAAATGATCAGGTCCGAAAGTTCGGACCTGGGCCTGCGTCCGAACACCGCCGTTCGGGGCGGTTCCCGGTCGAATTTTTTTATGAAATTTTTATGGTATGTTTTTCATCAAGTATAGTTTATCCACAAAAAATTTCAGCTCAAAATTCGATCTGGAAGGCCTTCAAATGATTTTTTGAAGTTAACTGTGTTTTTCTATGTATAATTTGGCGCAGTCAACTTCAAAAAATCATTTGAAGGCCTTCCCAATCGAATTTTGAGTTGAAATTTGGCATGTATAAACTAGACTTAAAAAGAACATACCATAAAAATTTCATCAAAAAATTCCACCAGGAACCACCCCGAACGGCAGTGTTCGGACGGCGCCTCAGGTCTGAACGTTCGGACCTGAGAATGACTATATATATAGTAATGATATGGTGCGTCCGGCCGCACGAGACGGGTTGTCCGGCCGACGGCTTTTGGCGATGGCGTTGATGAAGCCGGTCGTCTGAAAATGAAGGACGACACTAGTCGTACGTCCCTTGATGATGACGGCTTTGATGAAGCCGTACGTCATGTGAGGACCAGGCTCTTACCCTGGTTTCAAGATGGCGTTGGGGACGCTCATCCTTTGATGGCGAAGGCGTTGATGAAGCACTTCGTCGTGAAAGCTCAAGGCTCTCGGCGCTGAGGAGGCCAGCCTTGAGATAAATAATCACGCCGAGGCTGAGGGACCGTGCGTGATTTGAGGATGACGGCGATGATGAAGGCGGTCTAAATAAATGATGACGAGGCATTGATGAAGTCGTTCGTCATGTAAGCTCAAGGCTCTCGGCGCTGAAGAATCCAGCCTTGAGATAAAGGATCAAGTCAAGGCTGAGGCCTGAGGAGCCGTTCGTGATCTGAGGACGACAACAATGATGAAGCTGATCATCACACAAGCTCAAGACTCTCGGCGTTGAGGAAGCCGGTCTTGAGATAGATGATCACGCTGAGGCCGAGGGGCTGTTCATTTTGAGGACGATGAATGCCCTTCATTTTGAGGACGAGGGTCGCCATCCAGGAAGGGAATGGCGAGCCCGCTCGCTAGCTCAAGACGCTCAGCGCTGAGGAGGCCGGTCTTGAGATGAAGGATCACGTTAAGACCGAGGGGTCTGTCGTGATCTGAGGACGACGGCGTTGATGAAGCCGCTCTTCGTATGAAGGCGAGGGTCGCCATTCCAGGAAGGGAATGGCGAGCCCGCTCGCTAGCTCAAGACGCTCGGCGCTGAGGAGGTCGGTCTTGAGATAAAGGATCACGTTGAGACCGAGGGTCTGCCGTGATCTAAGGACGACGGCGTTGATGAAGCCGCTCGTTGTATGAAGGTGAGGGTCACCATCCAGGAAGGGAATGACGAGCCCGCTCGCTAGCTCAAGATGCTCGGCGCAGAGGAGGCCGGTCATGAGATAAAGGATCACATTGAGACCGAGGGGTCTGCCGTGATCTGAGGACGACGACGCTGATGAAGCCAGTCGCCTGAAGATGAAGGGCGGCACCGGGCGCCTGTCCTCTGAGGATAAAGGTGCCGATGAGCCCGTTTGAAAATGAAGGACGTCGTTTGGACGCTCGTTTAAAGATGAGGGACAGCGGAGCCGGTCCTATGATGAGGGACGGCGAAGCTGGTCCTATGATGAAGGACGGCGTTGGGCGCTCGTCTGAAGATGAAGGACGGCGCTGATGAAGCCGGTCCTTTGCTTAAGGACAAGGCGTTCTGCCTGTCTGAAGATGAGGGACGACGTTGGGCGCTCATCTGAAGATGAGGGACGGCGCAGCCGATCCTATGATGAGGGATGGCGGAGCCGAACCTATTATGAAGGACGACGTTGGGCGCTCGTCTGAAGATGAGGGACGGCGCTGATGAAGCCGGTCCTTTTCTTAAGAACTAGGCGTTGCGCCTGTCTGAAGATGAGGGATGGCGTTGGGCGCTCGTCTGAAGATGAGGGACGGCGTTGGTTGCTCGTCTGATCCGCATGTATGTTCTTGCTTCGTCCATAGGGCAGAGCATGGGTCGAGTTCAAAAATGATTAACCCGTTCGGGTATCGGATTGATAATTTCAATCCCTACCCTATCAAAAAAATTATCGGTTTTTTTCGGGTTGAAGAAATTCGGGTTGCGGTCGGGTTGATTCGGGTTTCGGGTCGATTCGAATTTTAATTTATTATTGTTGAAATTGTGATAAATAAAATGGTAATTGGTAAAAATATCATTTAAAGTTATACTAGTATATCATTCAAAGTAATAGTTGTATAAATACGGTAATCGACATATTTGAATATGTAAAATAATAATATACGGTGATTGACATAATTGATATTGTGATAAATAAAATGATAATTGGTCAAAATATCATTCAAAGTCATAAAAATACAACATTCAAAGTTATAGTTGTACTAATACGGTAATTGGAATATTTGAACATGCATAATATGGTAATTGACATATAATAATTGAGATATTTGAACATGCATAATAATTTAAAGTAGTATATATACTATGCTAGTTCGGTTTTTCGGGCGGGTCGGGTAGCATAATTGGTAACCCTACCCGTTACTCGCTTAAGTCTCGGGTTGCAAAAATCGGATCGCGTTTGGGTATTTCGGGTCGGGTTTTCTGACACCAATAAAAAAATCAGATATATCCGATCGGGTCAATCGGGTAGGGTCGGGTTTTCTCTCCCCTATTCGTCCATAATGCATAATATTTGCCTGATGTGTACTTAGCCAAATATGTGGCTTGATTTGTGGGGATTTTATTTTTATCGCTCGAGGCCGGCGGGTGCGCGGTCCTCGGCTTCCCTCTTTTTATTTGTGGGGATTTCGCCCAAGACCGGCGAGTGCACGGTCCTCGGCTGTCCCTCTTTTGTTTTGTGGGGATTTCGCTCGAGGCCGGCAAGTGCACGGTCCTCGGTTGTCCCTCTTTTATTTGTGGGGATTTCGTCGAGGCCGGTGAGTGCACAGTCCTCGGCTGTCCTTCTTTTATTTGTGGGGATTTCATCGAGGCCGGCAAGCGCACGATCCTCGGCTGTCCCTCTTTTTATTGTGGGGATTTCGTCGAGGCCGGCGAGTGCACGGTCCTCGGTTGTCCCTCTTTTATTTGTGGGGATTTCGTCAAAGTCGGCGAGCGCACGGTCCTTCAGCTTTCCCTCTTTTATTTCTTCCTCTACTGCTTTGAGCGAGGAGTGGGGTTCCTTCTTTCAGGCTCGACCGAGGGGGTTGTTATTCCCTCGGCCGATAGGGAGTCCAAGAGGGCAGCTGTCCGGCCTTTGGCGTTGGATCGTCCCTTGATCTTGGGGGGTCCCGTCGTCTATTTACGGCACGGGCTAGGCTTTTGGTCAGTTACCGACGGCTGCCGTTTCCCAACCCCAAATGTGGGGATTTTGTCACCTCGGCCATTCTTTCAGGCCTGTCACCGTGCAATTTAGCGCGAGGACGACGCAGTGAGCTTTCCGTTTCAAGACGCGGGCCGTTTTGCAGATCCCTCATCCTGGGGCATCGTCGGCCATGCCTGAGAGTTTCGCTCTAAGGGGCCAGAATGACGTTCTTTGTTGTGTGGCGTCGTCGGCCATACCTGTTTCGCTCGAAGGGGCCGATGCGACGTGCTTTGTTGCGTGACATCCTATACTTAAACTTTACAAGAAATAAGCGGAACACAATAGGTGCGTTGTTCATGGCAACGACTTTTATTAAGGTCAGTGGCTCGAGGCCGAGGGTGGTAACCTTCTCCACAACACGTATAGGAGTCAACTTCTTAATGAGCTTCTAACCTTGGGGTGGGGGTTCTGCCGTCTGCACCCCCTTCGGATTGCTGATAGAACTTCGGAGAAGGACAGTCAACGGATGTGATGCTTCTTCGGCTGGGGCTCCTCGAAGTCCTCGTCGTCGCTGAGCCTCCCGATTTCATGCTTCTTCGTCGAGGTGTCCCCTTCCTGATTGCCGGTGGACTTCCTTGGGACACCTTTGACAAATTGGTGGAGTTCACCGTGTTGAATCAGGCGCTCAATGGCCTTCTTCAGCGCGACGCTGTCGTCTGTATTGTGGGAGCTGTTCTTGTGGTAACGGCAATAAGTGCCGCCCTGGTGGACGGCGCAGATCTTCTTGG